ACGGCGAACCAAAAACTATAACCTTGATGAACCTAAAATAATTTCAAAATAATTCAAACAAATTAAATAAATTTTATAAATCTCAAAACTTAACATAAGGAACAAATGGTTCACATTAGATGAAAAAAAAAATCTTCTTTAGCTTATTGCTCAATGTTGAGGAGAAATTGATATCCGACTACGAGCATGAGAGCGAAGTTAAAGAAACAAAAAAAAAATGAATCGTTCGTGAGAGAAACAATTGGAACAAAAGAAGAATTTCTTTTTTATTATTCTTTAAGAGATGAGGAGTGCAGCGGGGAAGAAGAACCACGCCTAAAGAAGAAGAAAAAATGAAGGTTTGATATTTTGAATTCTAAATTCAAAATCTCTCAATTTTGACTCAATCAAAATTAGTTTTAGCAAATATATATATATATATTAATCCCAAGCATTCATCTACCTTTTTTTTCCTTATTTTCCCTTTTATGATTTTTTTTAAACGATTTTATATTTACACATTTTTTTAAACAAATCTTATCTAATCTGACAGTATTTAAAATTTAAACTACTAAAATACATTTAATAAAAATATAGGGCTTTACAATCTTGGTTGTGAAGAACGAATTACAAAATTGAATCGCTCGGTATCATAATCCGAAGGTTAAAGAATGTATTTTACAAAGTGGTGAACTTGTCTTGAGAAAAGTCATGTCAGACACTAAAGACCCGACCAGTGGAGTACTAGGACCTACATGGGAAGGATCATATAAGGTTACCATAGTAGTCCGGCAAAGCACCTATGGCTTAGAAAACCAACACGACAAAGTCGTATCCCATCCATGGAATGCTGAGCATCTTAAGATTTGTTACCACTAGTTAAGTATTTTACTTTATTTTTCATATAAACATCATTTCACTCTTAGCAAAGACATTTGAATTTTACATACTTGATCAATTACCTTTTTATTTATTTTCCTTAAAAAGAAAAAAAAAAGAGAAAAAAAACTCCTCAGGTGGGGACTAAGTAAGAGAAACAGTTTGACAAATCGACAAGGTTAATCAACGATAAAGATAATCAAGAAAATCGTAAGGGTACAAAATTGAAAGTATGCAAATAGGTTAAGCTAGTCAGTGAAATCAGGGGTATAAAAAACCAATGGCAAATAAACCCAAATAGGTAAAACCTAAAGGTATTGAAAAAGGCAAGCGAACGAGCCAAACCAATTAAAACTGAAAGCAGACAAACAAGCCAAGAAAGTTAGTGAAACCACAAGTATACAAAGGCAATGGAAAAGGTCTCAAATAGGTAAAAACCTAAATGTGTTGAAAAAGACAAGCGAATGAGCCCAGCCAGTTAGAACCCTTAGGATAGTAAAACTAATGGATAGACCTAACTAGTTAGTGGAGCCTAGGAGGAGGGTGAATCTACCTAAGAATTCGTTGGAAGATTAATGGTAGGAAAAATAAAAGTAGTAGATTGTTGGGACGATGTGGCAAGAATGACGTTTATCATTGTCGTCACTAATCCTGACTTATCAAAGTCATTCACACTACAATCGACAATTACCTACAACGAAGCAATTCAGCGTGCAAAGAAGTATATGCACGCAAAAATATATGCTCAAAGCAAAGCAACTACTTCTATCCAATGATCAAACGGTTGGGGATGGTAGTAGTTCGCAACCGAGTAGAGATCAGCTGAGTAGGAATCAGCGAGTAGAGATTGTAGGTATAGAAAGCTGAACTACGATAATCAATAGTGATAAGATCAAAACATAATGGAGAATTACCCCTGACTACATCGTTTTGATCGGTACAGACCAATTAATGTGCCGTTTGTTGGGTTTCATGTCTAAAACTCATAGTTTGAAATGACATATATACTTTTATCATTCAATAAAGTTGTTATTGAAGGTTTTAATCAATAAGTAGTTATTGATCCAATACAATGTTCTTACTAGATCTATCAAGTTTGAGTTAACAGTCTAAATGGTGTATAGTATAGGAATAAGGTTGGACGCCTTATTCTAGGGACACTATGGAAGCGGCCCACTTTGTAGCTGACTGGTGGTTATGCTGAACGCACACACTAAGCGTGGTAACAATTCTATAGATGCAAGCGCACACCTGTCAGAGTAATATAAAATGGATGGAGTATCCAAGTATCGATCCTCAAAGACTTCTAAATAATTTCCAAACTCTAAAGTTTTAATGAATAGTGAACGTTGAAATGAGTGATATCTGTAAAATGGGAAGAGGTCACAAATAATGGTTTTGGATTTGGGATTTGGTCTTATAATGGTAAAACCTAGCCCGAATTACTTCAAGTTAGCCAACAAAGAATCAAGGATATGCTAAGGACGATATGCATTTTACTTTAGGAACCAACGACTACGCTTTTCACTTGACTTATGTCTAAGCAAGTTCAAAGTCCTAAGACATTCCCTAATATGTCT